GTTGCACTGCAAGTTTGGACTTCATCCTATAGTAGGGAACTATAAGAGGTTTTTTGAGAAAAAAAAAATAAATGATAGTGATGAGGCTGAACAAACTAGTTTTACCTTTAGAACTAGATAAAAATTAGTTGGGCTGGGAGTGGTGGCTTATGCCTATAAGCCTAGCACCCTGGGAGGCCAAGGCAGGTGGATTGCTTGAGCTCAGGAGTTGGAGACCAGCCTAAGCAAGAATGAGAGCCCATCTCTGAAAATAGCTGGATGTCTAGTACGTGATTGTAGTCCCAGCTACTCGGGATGCTGGGGTGAGAGGGTCACTTGGGCCCAAGAGTTTGAGGTTGCTATGAGCTATGATGCCGTGAATTCTACCAAGGATGACAAAGAGAAACTATCTTTTTTTTTTTTTTTAATTAGTTTGATTTCCAGCTATACTTTTTTTTTTGAGGCAGGATCTTGCTATGTCTCCTGGGCTAGTGGGCAGTGGCATCATGGTAGCTCGCTGCAATCTTAAATTCCTGAGCTCAAGTGATCCTCCTGCTTTAGCCTCCTGAGTAACTGGGACTACAGGAGCATGCCACCATGCCCAACTTATTTTTCTGGTTTTTTGTAGAGATGAGGTCTCAGTATGTTGCTCAGACTGGTCTCAAACTCCTAACCTCAAGTGATCCTCCCACCTTGGCTTCCCAAAGTACTAGGATTACAGGCATGAAGCCCTATGACTGGCCTCCAACTATACTGATTATGAGCTATATAATTTGGAGAAAGTTACTTAAGTTTATTAGGCCTCTCTTTTCTTTCTTTCTTTCTGTTTGTTTGTTTGTTTGTTTTTGAGACAGAGTCTCATTATGTCGCCGTCAGTAGAGTGCTGTGAAATCACTGCTCACAGCAACCTCAAATTCTTGTGCTTAAGTGATTCTCTTGCCTCAGCCTTCCAAGTAGCTGGGACTATAGGAGCCCGCCACAGCACCTGGCTATTTTTTTGTCAGCGTTATCACTGTTGTTTACCTGGCACAGGCTGTGTTCTTCGAACCCACTGGCCTAGGTGCATGTGGCCAGCACCATAACCACTGTGCAACAGGCACTGAGGCTTTCTTTTCTTTCTTCCTTTCCTTTCCCCTTTCCCCTTTCCCCTTTCCCCTTCCCTTTCCTTTCCCTTTCCTTTCCTCTCTCTTTCTCTCTCTCTTTCTTTCTTTCTTTCTTTTTTTGAGACAGGGTCTTGTTCTTGTTCAGGCTAGACTCGAAGTCCTAGTTTTCTTATCTGTGAAATGTGTATGATAGTATTTTCCTTATAGAATTACTGTGAGAATTAGTTGAGACAATGTATATGGTGCTTGGGACATTGTGTTCAATAAATGGTATTTGACGATAACAAGGGTTTCAGAAATTTTAAGTGTCAGTAGTATACAGGATGAAGAAGGGGAAGAGAGATTGCTAACTGCTTTTGATTTTAAATGTTTTGATTTTAATCGTAAAAACCAGTTAGTTGACAAAACGCTATGGCTTTTTGGAATAGAAAGCACAAGTTGGAACACAAACAAACCTGTATTTCAT